TTCCGGAATTTCCGGAAACTTGTTTTTCATTAAAGTTTGCCACTCGAATCATGAACTTTACGCTTCAAAAGGCTTTTCTTCGTTATTTCGGATTTTTCAACTTTGTGCCATTGCCGTTTTACTACGCATTTTTCAGGCTACTCAACTGCAATTCACCTCAAACATATTATTTCTGGCAAAGGTATATTCGCTAGATGTGGAAATTAAGAAAGAAACGATGGCCTGTAATACAAACTGGTTGAGTAAAAACTATTTACTTTAACCCCTTAGCTTTTCGTGAAGTGACAAAAATATGGCAAATGTCGACAAGGTCAACTAGCAATATATCAACCTTTTGGTTTCGTGAGGAATATTTACTTCTAAGACGCAGAAACCGGTTTTAGAAACCAAAAGTGATCAAGAGCTAAGATTCCGATTAAATGACTTCTTGCGCATTACAAATGCATCTGTTATGAAACCTCTATCACAGACTTATCAAACTCTTGACCGCAAAAGAGCGGCTATCCTCTGGACAAAACACTAGCAACCTGTATGACAGAACATACTGCAACCCACGTAGCTTACATGAGCGGTTACAGTAAACTGGAACGTTTAAAGAAATCATAGGAAACTGTCATACACCTTGCTCTTGGCCTATCTATGCCGAATAAATCTTGTGATCAAATAGTTTTTTCTAAATAAAATTGCTTTAAGAACCATTTGGTTTTTTGCTCGGTTATTTGCACTTCCTAAACCAACGGTGTTTAGGCTTATTGTACTGATTTGTGGAAACTGTAAGGTCCCAGTACTTCATGTAGTAGAATACTATGCCAATGTCGCTGTCAGCACTCGGTAAAGGAACGTCTCAATTGGAATATAAATATTTTCCTCGCAATTGCAGTTTTAGGGGTACTTTCATCTATCAGGGTGTATAAGATATGGCTTCATAAAAGTGATATTTTTACTTATATCATTAAGATTCCCTTCACAGCTTCGATGCGTGATATTTCAAAACTTGCGTGGCACATAATATTTCTTCATCAGCGAAACAGAAAACAAAATTTAAAGTTAGATAATCTTGAGAAATTATATGCTGCTCGTTCCGCTACGTAGAATTTTCAGATCACAGATTTAACAATCAATCTGTTGCCAGGGCCCCTGGTCCTTGCCATCGGGTGGCTGCTGACACTGCACAGCGTTCACGCTGGGGTCCTGTTTGAGCCACGGTTGCGACAATATTGTAGTGGAACAAAGCCGGACTTGCAATGGTTCCGTCACCTTGCAACCCGCCATATTTTCATTCACCTAAAAAAGATGTGTCATAACATAATGTAATTCCTTCAGGGTATTATTCTAAAATACTTTTAGAAAAACAGCATCAGTCATCGCATCTGATGCAATGGAATGACAAGAAATACGAAGAAAATTTCAATGTGATGTGTCCAAATTTCATGCTGAATGAAAAAAGCAAAAAATGTGTCAAATATTTGGACAGGTGACACTGGGATGCAACTACCAACTGGATAAAGTGTGAATGACTTGATGAATGGTTGCGATTAATATTGAAAGTCGCGAGTAAATTCGTTATGTCTGGTGTTAATCTATCACTCACCTTAAATCGAAGTAATTTGGATGATAATGTACGTGACTTGTTTGCTGCCTGTAGATCAGTTGTGCCCTGGCGATGCTACAGCGTGTTTAGCAAAAGTATATGTTTACGTTATTTGGTGCAGTCGACCCTGAAGCAACTAACACTATGCGATTACTGCTACCGATCCCGATTCGGGAATGCTGCTATGTTTGAACAGCTAGCACTCTTTTGATATCTTAAATATAGTATACTACTGCCTGCTACAGCACTACAGGCAGAAGTCTCTTTACTCCACATAATGGATTCAACACTGCAGCAATCCAGATCATGCTTTATCTTGGTAATATTTTAGCAGAGGCAAACAACATGATGCCGATTTGTGGCAAGCCAACGACGCTTTAAGAATGGAGAGTTGAGACATGTCTGCCATCTAAAATTCCTTGCCACGTCATTTATGAAAAGAAAATTAGCGACATCATAATTCATTGTTACATGGGCTGCTTACGTTTGTTCCTGATTAACATCAAGAAGTGAACGCTATGCTGCATATTAAGAAGCAAAGATACTATCCTTCTGTAATGCATTATTCATTAATAACTCACTATGATTAGTATGTAATCATACACTATCTATGCTTCTAGTCCTTCCACTGGGACTCGCAGTCAAATCGTTCTAGAGATATGCAGATATCGTTCTACAGATATGCGCTTATACCAGAAAGAGGTCAGTTGATTCCAGTTGAAACGTCGGCTTTCTTTACTATAACGATAAGGTCATTTTCGGATCTTTTTCATGAAGTTAACGTTGGAGTGCTGATCTCCATTTCTGTGCCATCATTCCTGAGTGTCCTATGTTAAAGGCAGAGTCTGTAGTCGTGTAGCAAACGTAGCGGATAGTCTACCGTTTCTTTCCCATAGAGTGATATTCGTTCGTTAATTTCGGAAGAAGGAAAATCCTCTGATTCCAGCCGAGACTTCTCGGTTCCGGGTTCAATGCATTTCTGACTAAGGAAACCCGCTTTGAAACAAAGCGTGGTAAGTTTCTTGCTCAATTTACCAGAAGGACACGTGTCAACTGCACGATGCTGTGTTGAAGCATGGGCTTAATTTTCATAAATAAACAATATGACTCATTTTTAGTAATAAATTAATGAATTTGTTTACTATATTTAGCCACGTCCGCGATGCGTATTTTATGTATGGTTTTATTTATTGGTTTAGTGATATCTGGCATAGGGCTAAGATTAATGTTAAAGAATCTTTAATAGGCAACGATAATGCCACTGAAAAATCATATTTTAGACTTAAACAAGGTGACTGTTAATTGGTTGGAATGTTTTCAGTAAAATGTAGGAGTATTTAAACATCCGTTTTAACTTTCCCCTTGTCATCGAACCTGCAGATCAGCAAAATGATTTATTTCTCAGCTCTATTATCAACCGTTGTTCAGCGTATAATTTATAAGACAAGTCGCACCCTCGAAAAATCTTTAGGTACTTTACCGCATCACGTAGATGTTGATTATATTGTCAGTTGAATATACTGCAATTGCATCGTTATGCGGTATCTACTAGACATTCATTGGTGATTGACTTACCGAAGCTCCATACATTCTTTCCGTATTCCTAAGCTTTATCTTAATTTTTAAGAATCGACGAATGATTTGTATGAATCCGGCATGAATGGTATATAATCGTGACTTAAATATCCCCAAACCATATGCAACTAGGGAAAGGGGCTATTGTCCCACACCGTGAACGTGATTTAGGACGAGTAGTTCATTATTTGACATTCTTGGGCTTACGAGCAGACATATGCTCGTGACGTATTAAAAATATTTTCCAATTTTCCACAAACAATCAGAAAAAACATCCATCAAGCAAACCTACTGTCGCGTAAGAACATTTTCTTGCCAGAAACAGCTTGGTTTCCAAGAATCATGCGACGTCGTTTGCTATCCAATATTGCTCTTGGCACAGAGCCTAATCGTCATAAATATTTCATTGTCAAAATTGAGGCCTTAATTAACTGGTAGATTCCTGTCAGATAGTTGTTTACGTGTGTTCACTGATCGCAGGTATCAGAAAAGTTGCTGTTGCAGATTCAAACCGACCCACAAACCTGTCCAATGCTATGACGCTACGTAGGATTAGAAGAGAGTTGGTGCGTGCGATTCAGATAAGGGGTCAGCATTGTTACAAAACTGTATCATAGCTTCCTTGGTTGTTCATTTCGGGATTCGTAATAAGCTTTAACGATCCCCATAAATTCTTATTCAAAGGATAGGCAGGTTTCCGAGGCTCAAATATTTGCGGCGTTCTGATAAACACTTATCAATTATATGGTTGGTGACTACTTACCTAACGTAAGCCTTCAACACTGAAACGATGTCACCAGACAGTTTAACCGCTTGTTTAATTAAGTTACACACCGCTTAGGAGGAAATGACCTGCTGAGCAAAGGGACAACATTTGTTCACATTTAGCGGGAGGAGGGAGGAAGTGAGGTATTTTGGATAGTAGCTCAATTAATTAATTGTTTCCTTTGTACTTTAGAGGCACTTAAGTGAATTCCCAAGCGCGAGGTAAATTTACTATTATCACCTGTTAATTCCTTGAGCAAAAAATTCATCCCCCCCCGTAGTG